CTCAAGTGAGAGAGTAGCAGCCATAGTGAAAATGCTGAATGACAGCATGAGACCCTGAATTCAAGCCCCGGTCCTGGCAAAGAGCAAAAGAAAAGGCAAGAAAAGAAACAAGAAAAGAAAGGAAAGAAATCAGCAGGCATTTTTCAAAACCCCACACTAGAAGCAAAATTTGAAATTTAATTATGGTAATGAAGGACGAAGGCTCTGCCAAATTGATAGAAATCTAATTATGAGGAGGACTCAATTCTAGACTATCGTATTCTAAATTGCTAGCTATAGTTTTATATTTCTAGTTTATGTGTTTTTTTAATGTATGTGCCATTTTAAGAACTATTGATACTGCAGATAATTCTACTTGATAAAAATATATTTTCTGCCTCAAATATATGACTGAAGAGTTCTTGCTGTAGCTCTAATTCGGTTCTTTCCAAGTAAAGAGAAAGCTCAGATGTTTGCAACCAGAACATTACATTTTAGGTTTCTGTCTTGGGTAGTAATGTGAAAATAGGAGTCACTTAACAGAAATTTGTTTGTTTATTAATTTATTGAGACAGGGTCTTGCTATGTAGTCTAGACTCACTTGGACTTCTCTATGTAGCTTTAGCCTGTCCTAAAAACCCCTGATTCTCTCGCCTCAGCCTCCTAAGTGTTGAGATCACAAATGTGTGCCACCACACTTGATCAAAAAGTTCTTTTCAAGCAATTTACTTAAAATTCATGCAACTAGGTATGAGAGTTTTTACAGTAAAATATGAAGTGAGGTTCTTTGGTTTTGCAGTTGCTGTGCTTAGTATCGATTTCCTCTGAAGGACAATGAGAATTATAGCAGAATATATTTCATGTTACACAAATGTTCTTTGAGCCCTGAAAATTGCGGAGGAATAAGTTGTTAGAAGAAAGCTGATAATACTCCTCTTGATATTTAATGACTTCTCACTGAACAGTGATTTTGAGGTCAAAGTAAAATGTAATTCCAGGAAGTTGGAAAACAGGAATTTGACAAAATCTTTGATAACTTCATGGCTAAGATAACGATATGCAGGTAGAACATTTTGTGCAACTTGAATTTTCAATTGGCTGAGCAACCATAATGTATAACATGGAATGTTGATTTGATGTCCTGCATACAGTAAGTGCCTAATGAATCCCCTTTTCATGTTATTGGTATAGTGATATTCTGCCAGTTGCAGTAGATAGGAACACCCTGGTTTGGGAGAGTTTTGTGTGCGAGTAGCCTGTGAATTGCCTGGAGAAAACAGCATTATTTGTTTGTTGTTGTACTTCCTGTAGATGTTAGTATGTAGAAGGTTATACCACACATTTTTACTGAGCTGGAAATAACTCTATCAAAGACTTACAGGTATATGAGGAAAATGATGTGAACCTCCTGTTCTTTTTAGGCAATGTTAGCAATTTCATTGGATTTTTCAATCCAGTACATTTTATGTCAGTATGTTTTATTCTGGCTTCGGCTTTCAGAAATGTTCTGACTATCTTACAACATGGGGATCAAAGAAATCGTTTCAGCTCTGGGAGATATTTCCTTTCCTGTTCAGTCTATATGCCTAGCTTTTCTGGTCCCAAATAGATATATACTTCAAAATATTATGAATGTATTTCTCTTTTCATTCTTGTTAACAACTTTTCTTGCACTTGTTTTTTTTTCATTTCAATGGTTTATTATAAACATCAGTGCAATCTGAGGCTGCTTCTGAAGTAGTACATTGGTAATTTCTAGAACTATCATATATCACTGTTTAAATGAAAATGAAGTTGTGAATAAGACAAAAGTGATGAACTACTCTTTTATCTGTAGTTTTATCCCAGGTAAAAGTAGATGAAACTATTTGCTGGAAGATTTGTAAATATTTTGTTGAATAGTTTTGTGTTTTTTTCATTGTGATATAGAACTAAAAGTTATCTTTAAATTGGGAATTTAGGAATATGTCTTACATATTCTGTTTTCCGTATGAAAATAATATTCCTAGCAGGGACAATAGCATTTGCCTGTGATCCCAGATTTGAAGCAGCTAAATCACAAGGATTGCTTGAACCCATGGATAAAGTAGAAGCCTGATGCTAGTGGCTCATGCCTGTGATCCTAACTACTCAGATGGCTGATATTTGAAGATTGTAGTTCCAAGTCAGCTGAGGTGGGAAAGTCTGTGAGATTCTTATCTCCAATTAACCACCCAAAAGCTGGAAGTGGAGCTGTGGCTCAAATGTTAAACCACTAGTCTGGAGTCAAGAAAGCTAAGGGACAGGGGCTGGGAAGGTGGCTCAGTGGTAGAGCGCTTGCCTTGCATGCATGAGACCCTGGGTTCAATTCCTCAGCACCAGATAAGAAAAAAGGAAAAAAAAAGCCGGAACTGGCGCTGGGCTCAAGTGGTAGAGTGCTAGCCTTGAGCTGAAGAGCTGAGGGACAGCGCCCAGGCCCCACGACCAGACCCCTCCCCCCCACAAAAAAAAGAAAGCTAAGGGACAGTGAACAGGCCGTAAGTTTAGCCTCCAATACCAGTTGTGCATGCATGTGCACGCACACATGCATGCATGCACAAACACATGAATAAAAATAATATTCTTAAGGAAGAGCCAAGATACCATTCTACTCTGTTAGTTCTCGAATTGCATGCCTTTGTTAGATACTTTTGAAAACCCAGCAACAGGTCATCACTTTTGTCCTGTTTTGTGATCAGTTGAATTTTGGGTTGAGTTTTCATTTGGAATGCTGTGGGTGGAGGAAACAAGCTTGTCACGCACAAGGACTTGACACCTTTGTCTGAATGGACTTACATTGTCATTGCCAAACATGTTTAAAGTGCCCCTTTAGGACACCTGGTAAGTTTTCCCATGAAGGTAGTTATATCACAAATGAATCTTTTATTTTTTTCCCCTAACAAGGCACCATTTTAGCAGGCATGCTTCCCTATCCCTTCACCAGGAAACAATAAACCTGGCCAAAGCCATAATTTAAAGAAATGGTTGATTGTGGGCGCAGCCTTCTAGAACACGGGTCAAAGAAAAAAGTGGGGTGTAAAACTAAAAGAAGGTGTTAAAACAGGGTAAACTGGTTTTCAAAACCTTTTCCTCTTTAACATGCCAGAGGTATTGAATGTAAAAGTCATTTGGAGGATTATCTAAAACCAAATCATTAAAAGATCAGGTAAAGGATTTTGAATGCTTTATTTGTTTATATATTTATTTTTGGTGCCAGTCATACAGCTTGAACTCAGGGTCTAAGATGCTGTCTTTGACCTTCTTTTGCCCACAGCTAGCACTTTACCACGTTAGCCACAGCTCCACTTCTGTTTGTTTGGTTTTTATTTTTCTCAGTAGTTTATTGGAGGCAAGAATCACATGGGCTTTCTTGCCTGGGCTGGCTTTGTGCCATGATCCTTAGTTCTCAGGCTGTGGAGTAGCTAGGATTATAGTTGTGAGCCACTAGCTCCGGCTCTTGTTCATTGAAAAATAATATTGAGTGATAAACTCCTAAAACTTGCGAGAGTATATTAAAGAGAGATAGCCTCCAACTTTTTTTTTTTTTTGTCGGTTGTGGAGCTTGAACTCTGGGCCTGGGTTCTATCCCTGAGCTCTTCAGCTCAAGGCTAGCACTCTACCACTTGAGCCATAGTGCCACTTCTGGTTTTCTAGTGGTTTATTGGAGATAAGAGCCTCACGGACGTTCCTGCCCAGGCTGGCTTTTGAACCGTGATCCTCAGATCTCAGCCTCCTGAATAGCTAGGATTACAGGTGTGAGCCACCGGTGCCCGGCCTCCCAACTTCTTTTATATTTTCTCCCAAGGTAGATGTTATGCCTAACCAACCTACAGACAGAATATTCTAAGTTAGGAAATCCTTCATCCAGTTGTGATCAATGGTAATCTTTGCATTTGTATTTGTCTTGAGTCTGACTGTCTCATTTCCTCCTTTTCCTTTTCCTTTTCTTTTCCCTTTCTCTTTCTTTTCCTATGTGTATGTGAACCAATACTGGAGACTGAACTCAGGGTCTAACTGCTGTCCCTGTGCATTTTGCTCAAGGCTGGTGCTCTACCACTTTTTGATGGGAATTAGAGATAGGAGTCTCACAGACTTTCCTAGGCTGACTTTGAACTGTGATTTCAGACCTCAGACTCCTAACTAGCTAGGATTACAAGCATGAGCCACAAATGGCTGGCCTGGAGAGTCTAGTTATTCTCATGGGTATGCAGGCCAGCCAAGTGCAAAATGGTTCTATAATACACAGGGCTCATCGTCTCGACAAAGGCTTACATGCTAAAGTGGGATAGGAACTTTTGTTCAATAGCATCTGCTTGCGCAAGAAGTCAGGTCAGAGGCACTGTTGGTACCTTAGCTATTTTGCAGATATTTAGAATGTTCTTGAGAATGACTTTTGTTTTGAGTGAGAGGATCTAATGAATAAAACAATATAATATTTAAACAATTACATCACAAAACCATTCTGATCTTTACTAACAAAACCACCAAAATGTCAGCTAGAGACACTTGTCATACATTACACTTTTTTAAGAAATAAGAAAAGGTCACTTTTTATTAAGTGGGCTTGAGCAAAAAGAAAAGATCAACTTATCTATCTAGAAGTAATGTGAAAAAGAGGTATTTTTAAAAGCAAATAAAATAGACATCACAGGCATATCTTTTAAGTATATTTTACTGGGGTGTGGGCAATAGACAGAATAAATAAGACCTTGATGCCCCTAAAGGGGTGGCCTGGGAAACATGGCACTTGCCTGAGAGACAACATAGATTGTGGCCCGACCAAGTCACGTGGTGGGAGGGGGCTCTTTTCTTTCTCTTCCACATCCTTTCCTCTGATGTCACAAACCTATTCTTCCCTGGGAGAATTAATTAGTATTCATTGGGTGTAGTTGGCTGGAGGAAAGAAGGGAGCAGAGGAGGGAGGCGGAGAGAGAGAGTGAGGGAAAGATCTTAAGAGAGACTGTGAGGAGGAAGAGCTTGGTGGGGGAGCAGGTCTTTCCTGGGCGCCTTGAGAGTCGAGTCTGGGCACAGAGGGGTACAGAATGGCTGTTTTATAACTGGGATCCTCTGTGACGTATTGCTGCCGGCTCCTTGGCACCTATCTCTATGGAACAGTAGGCAGAACGAGATTGACGCTGACAAGACTTTTACATCTTGGAAGGGGCTGTAATCTACTGTAGTGAAGAACAGAGCCTCTCAATCAGGCGGTGTAAATACGAGACCGAGGGGAGTCCAAAAGAAAAGGAAGAGGAGGGGAAAAAAGTGTGTGTTGGGAGAAAGCAAGGAAAAGCATTTTTGGTGGATGGTATGAAGCCAGCCATGGAAACTGCAGCCGAGGAAAATGCTGAACAAAGCCAAGAGAGAAAAGGTACCCTGTACTCTGACAATAGCCTGTTTAAAGCTTTTCACTGAGGGCGCTTGGAAAGGGTTAGCCTGGTTTTGTGTCTTTTAAAATGACTCTGAAACAATCCCTATGGCATACTCTTGTTTTAGGGTGTTTTACCCCCTGTGGACTGATATTCAATTGATAAAGCAGCCTGTCTTCAATCTGGTCCTGTTGTAAATCTTCCTGCGGAACAACGTATTTCATAGAAGGTTGTCCACAGTTGTCACCTTGGGCAGCTGCATTGGGGAGATTGTCTTTTTTTTTTCTGCTATAATTAATGAGAACTTAGATCCGATGTTCTGCATGTTATATTCTGGGGACATGGAATATACTGTTCTCTCCCAATCCTGGGGAAAACTAGAGGGTATGCATGCTAATTATGATTTTCTTCCATTAAGAGTGGAATGATTTGGACATTGTCTAAATTCCTTCCTCTAATATGATTGTTGTTTCTGTGTACCAGGCTCTGGATGTGACACGTAATGAAACATTTACAGTTGGAGCTTGAGAGAGAGGGGACATAAGCTCTGTCACCTAGCACTGATGGAAAGGAGAAAAGGGGGGGGGGTTCTTATGCTAATTATGGTTTAAAGATTTGGGAGAGGAAAATGAATAAAGGTCCTGTTGATCATGTCAAAATTTTGATGCACATATTAGGTATTTGGAGAGATCAGTATTTTGCAGTTAAAAAAAAAGGGCAGAAAATTGAAGCTATAATTAAACTTCCTTTCGTAAATAATGACTGATGTCAAGTTTGACACCCCGTGGAATCAGCTCAGCCACTGTTAGGTTAATGACATCGCACTGCATTGTAATTGATCTCTCTCACCCAAAGATAGAAACTGTCACAAATGCACAGAAACGTGCTCTCTAACTGCAGTGGCTCAAATAGCAAAAGCCATCATGTTAAGGTCATTTCTCATAGCCTTGACGCCTAATGACAGTTACTAAATAATAGTAATTCTTCAGGATGAAGGCGTAACTGTTTTCCTTATGAATAATTTGCAGTTTGAACCCTATGAAATTGCTGAGAGTTAACCATTTTAAACCTACAAAACCAGCATCCATATGTAGGCTCAACTGCATGCTAGGGTAGAGGCTGCATGTTATGTAAAGGATTTATTCTACATACATTGACATTGATTCCGAATAGACCAATTTCCTTTCCAAAATTCAGTTTTTAGATATATGAGAAAATCCACATAGCATGAAATTTTCCATTGTATTTTTAAGTATATGATTCATTGACATTAAATGCATAGCGTTTTAATTTTAAAGTTGCTAGTTTAATTCAGTTTTTGTACCAAACCAACCTTTTCCTCAACCAGAAAAAAAAATCCATTTTTTTTCTTGTATGTGTCTGCCCTCCCCCCTTAACCTATGTGAATCATGAAAGAGTAATAAAAATACGAGACACTTGGGAATATTTGTCAAGCTAAAGAAGTAAAAGTTTGAAGGTTCATTATTATTAATTAGTAAGTTGATTTACATGCTTTAGGATAAAAGGACTGCATGGTCTTGAAAAAGACTATCAAATTTGTAGCATTTTCCCCCTAAAGAAGAGATGATTTCGTTTTGTACATGCTTTATGTAACGTTTACCCATGACAGATAGAACCATTTGGGCCTCTGCAACACATTTTAGTCTGTACAAGATCATACTACTTGTAAGTATGTAAGTAAGAAAAGCACATATAACCTATATAGAAACTCTACATTAAATTTTCTCATCATTATTTAGTCTCATGGGTTACTATTATATCAATTAAATGTTTAATAACAGGTCTACAGGTCCCCACTCCACCCATTACAATTGGCATACGAAAAATTTTAGCCTTAGCTTTAGAGGCAAAATTAGAAACGAAAGATTATTCTTGAAGGAACTTTAGAAAGCACCACAATTTATAAATATTAGTTATTTGTTAAATAACACAGAACTAACAAGCTACCAAAACATAGCATCATATATATAACAGAAGCTAGAATAAGAAGATGGGCCAGGAAATTTGTTTTTACTGATCTGCAGCATCATTATGGGAAACACTAACATGTTCATCTGGCTTATCTTCAATTCTTTATTTAGAACAAGTTCAGCTCCACAAGATTACAACTCACCCAAGTTTCTTCCTAGTTCCCCAGTTTGTTGGACTCTTATCATTCAGGTGCACCTAAAACAAAAGCTACCTCAGGTCATGTGTGCTTGTCATTCCAGGCTTACTTCTTCAGGTTTCATTTTGTTTAGAAAATAAATGTTTATTTCATTAACATTTAAAAAATTGAAATCATAACAAAAAATGTATCCTATAATTCTGGACCTGGTAGAGTCCCTCCCTCCCTCCCTCCTTTCCTCCTTCCCTTTCTTTTTCTTTCTCTCTTCCTCACCCCTTTCAGCAAGGGTTCTTATTTCCTGACTACAATCCTAGGCATGTTGCAACTATACACAGAGGTTTCTTTCTTTCTTTTTTTTTATTCCTGTCAGTTCAGTTCTTCCTTTCCTACTTGTTTTCAATTGTTGCTGATAGGGAAAAATGCCCAACTTCATTTGGGGTGTTACTGCCCTATGGCTAATACCCAATAGCTTGTGAACTAATAGGGTTGTATAATTATTGCTGTGTCTGTTAAATTAAACTTGACGTTTCTACTTGGTGTCCTCTCCTGGAGGGAGTTTAGGCAGGACAACGCCTCTGAGCTATTATGATTCAGTCACTCCTACAGAAATCTGTTTCTTTAGAAAGTCAATCGGAATGGTTTGTTCCTAGTTCAGACAAGAGTAAGCTAAATCTTTACAAAACCAAAGCATTTGCACTTTTGAAATTGTGTGTTCTTTTTAACAGAATACTCTATCAACCAGAATTCACACAAGGTGTTAGGCAGATATTCAGGGATTTTTATGGGAAGCAAGCAGGTTTTCTCAGATGGATGTGTGAAATGCCATATTACTGAAATATGATTTTTAAATTGAGAGCATTAAAATATGAGGATTGAAAAGCATATTCACTGAAATGGAATAAGTGGAGAAAATGAATAAGACAAAATCAAAGGAAATAGATAATGGGATCCAGTAATAAAAAGATATGGTTAGGTTTCCATTTATTTCAGTGGAATATTACTTGATGTCAATTTATTTGTGAAAACAGATGCATCTAGAATTGCAGAGAGTACATGTGGTTAGTGGGTAGACAAACGATTGAATTATAACAACTCTAGTTGTTCTATTATGTACAAATAAATCTGAGTATGATGAAAATTATTTTATTGCATGTAGGAAAATGGAATTTACTCAATTACAGTCAGGGTAGTTCACTTCCTATGAACCATTCTGAACTCAATTCCAGAATCCAGACATTAAATTAAGCTCCTAATCACATAGGAAGGAAAACATAGTATGTTGGAAAATTATTTTAATTTAAAATAAACTGTAGGATATGGTCTGAGTAAAAAATAATGGATTTCAATGCTTCATAAGAAATGTACTCATTACCTTGCCCATGTAATTGTAACCCTCTGTACAGTATTTTCACAATAAAAAATAAATTAAAATTAAAATAAAAAATAATGGATTTAAATAATAGACTTATTTACAAGATTAACAGATCTATTTTAACCTTTTTGATCAAATACAAGTAATTACATATTTTTAATTTATCAAAATGTATCACACCAGGCTCTTCTTTTATTTATTTGCTTATTTTTTCAGGAAGAAAAGCACACCTTTAAACTCTATCACTTGTATGCTAAAAATCCAAAGGGACACATTTAACATGTTGAATAATGATTTAATGATCTAAGCTAATATTTTTTCCTTCCCTCACTCTCTCTCTCCCAGTTTTTCCCTCCCAATCCCACCCATAAGTTGTATGGTTCATTTTCTTCATTGTGTCTAGTTAGTTCCATTGCTGCATGTGTTCACCCTTTGTCTCTCCATTCCTGTGCCCCCCTTACACTCCTAAAGACATATAAATGAACAAATAGAGAAAAAGGAAAGAAAACAAAAACAGCAAAAAAGAAAAAGCCCTCTTATTTTCATTTCCTAAAGTTCATTTCGATAAATATTTTGTATCAGATACACACAGGCATTGTGCCTCTCTGTTCTTCTCCTAAGAGTAATGAATTTTTATTGACATTGTCTAAATTCTTTATGTGAATCTGATACAGAGAAAGTTTTAGATGTAGTTATTCTCTGTAAGGATTTGCCAAGGTGGACATCTGAAGAGATGGTATCTAGAGAATAGTCTGTAGAAAAGAGTGTGTAGCCAGATGGTGCAGCACATATGTGGTAGGTGTGATGTGGCATCATTTGATGTGTTTTTTTAAGAAAATTTAAATGTGGAGAAAGATCTTGATGAGCCATCTGATGTATCTGCTACTTTATTATCAATTCTGTGAGCATGCTTTTTAAGGCTTAGCCTCGCTATTTCATTAGAAAAGAAGAAATCTGGCCCATTTCTGGAAATGTCTATTTGGGTTTTTTTGGGGGGGGAACTGAGTTGTAAATCTAAATTAAGATTGCAGTGCAGATCACATTTCTCTGATACTTGGAAGCACAGGTCAATTTAGAGTAAGTGATCTTAATAAAATAATTGCTCAGTCTTGCTGCATTTAAGAACATGCAGAACAGCCAGGGTCACCCTGACATAAACTTCCCTTCACTGAAGATGAATTAATTGGATTGTTGCAGAGATCCTCCCTTGCTCTTTTATCCTTTGGACCCACTGAGTATACACTTGAGGTAGTTTGGCAGAGCTAGGGGTGGCTCTGAAAGAGCCACACATTGGCTTTTAAGAGGAGGCTGTAATCCAAGCTTTGCCAGTGCGCATTGTTGCTCATCATTTGTTCTCATATTCAGTGAATAATGTTCTTTTCTGAAATGTCATCCTCTGTCCTCTCAGCTCACATAGCATTGAATGGGCACTCACAGGCATCCTTAGGAGTAGTAAATAATACTGGGTGTAACCACAATTTTGTTGGTTGGTGGCAAATTAAATAGCCAACAACTGTGCCACAGAGAAGAATTTGGATCAATAGCCAGCCCAGTGGTATTTCTTTTTCACTGAGCATAGAATAAGAGCTAATAAAATAATGCTCTATTTTATAGTTTGGCTTATTAATTAACTTTTTTTTATATAGTCAAACCTTGCTAGGCTCTATCAGTATACATTTTCTGTAGAAGACCAGGTAACAAATATTTTGGCATTGCTGGCCACAGATTTCTATTCAGCCTTCTCACATCTGCCACCAACTTGTAAAAATGTCCATAGATAATAAATGGGTGTGACCAGGTTCCAGTAAGAATTTATTTATAAAAACAAAAGCCCACTGGGCCAACCCTTCCTCTAGTCTGTTGTATTGTTATGACTTTCCTTTAATGTTGTAACTAATGGCTTAAAAGGAAAGATGACAAATATGGCTTTGAAAATACCAGGGAATGTCTTCTTTCCAGACAGCAGTGCTTGTTACCTAGTCATTTCCAATGATGATTTCCTAGATGCTGAGAAGCAGTCCAACCTAAGTTCGTTTGATTAGCCTTGTCACCAGATCACATTAAAAGGGCGATGGCGGCTCATACCTGTAATCCTAGCTATTCAAGAGGCTGAGATCTGAGAATCTTGGTTCAAAGCCAGCCCTGGCAGGCAAGTCCATGAGACTCTTACCTCCAACTACTAGTAAAAAGCTGGAAGTAGAGTGGTGACATATGATAGAGTACTAGCTTTGAGTGAAAAAGTTAAGGGACAGTGCTTATGGTCTGAGTTCAAGCCCCAGTGTCAGAAAAAATAATGCATCCCTGGAGGCAGGTTACACAGTTCCACAACCAGACTCCTCCTCTTCCTCCCTGCTGAGTGAGCTTGCACAAAAGATCATTCCTTTCTTGCTACCTCTCCACTCTTCATTTGCCATGATAAAATAATACTTTCCTAGGATGACTGTGACAAATGAGGCTCCAGGCAACACGTGCTTGCTAACACAATGGTCAAACACATTGTAAGCACTGCACAAATGAGAGCAACTAAAACAACTTCATTGTACCCAAATAGGTTTTCCTTTTCTTTTGAAATCAGACATTATCTTACCCTGAAGCCAAAAAGGTTTTCTCTAAAACAACAGCTACAAAAGGACGTCTCTGCTTCTCTACCTAGTATTTCTTGAGTGACCAGAGATCCTGGAGAGTGGAACTGGGACTATGTAAAGGCTGAGATTTTCGGTAAACAAAGCCAAGGTCTTTGCTTATTTTGTTAATTGTGCTTATTCACTTGGTCTTTATCTATAGAGACCTGAGGTGCCACAATGAGCATTGGGATCCTGTCTTCTGCTGGGATCTTTACCTCCTTCCATGTCAGAGGCATTTCTTAATTCTTAAATAACTGTACTACCCCAGAGTACCTACCTCCTTATTAGGTTTTATGGAATTTTCAGGTATAAACTGGCCATAGTGACCTTACTGTTATGCAGATAATAGTTATCAATAACCTCTGTACTAGGCTATTTTTCTCTCCAACCCTCTAAGAGGGAAATGTGTGACCAGAGAGAGAACTGAGTCCCTGGAAGAACAATTGTCACCTCAGTAGTGAGTAAGAAGAGGTTTGAGCCTAAGATCAGCAGCCTTTTCTCTATAATACACCAAAAGATCATTGAAACACGGTTTAATCCAGAACATTGAAGGCCCGACTTCCTGAGTTGAAGATGAGGTAACAGAGAATGCCACAGGTGTCAGGGAGGGCAGACATTTCATGCAAGATTCATCAGGCCATGGAGTAATTTGCCAGCTTTTTAGGACTGGAACTGGGTACCATTAGAGAGAGAGAGAGTCTCTGCTTACCTTTGCCTGTGCAGCTGGCAATAATTATAGTGCTCTGCTGGTCTCAAAAGGAAATCAACAGAAAGAAAAAAATATTGTAAGGAGCCCAATTTTATCTATAGATAGTATCCTCCCCAAATGAGCATTTGATGTGTGTAAGGGTGTTGGGGGATGGAGAAAATAAGCAAAGGAAAGAAAATTTTGGTGATTTGTGTAAACTCCAATTCAAACACGGAGAAAGAGACTCCATTGTGAACTTACCATGCCAAGTTGAGAACCTGATATGGAAAGTTTGCATTTTGAGAGCCCAGAGTTTTAACTCCCCATTTCCTTTAACTATGTAGTAAAAGAATAAATAAAAATGCTGATATAGAATCTTTGCTGGAGATAGACACTGACTCTTTGCCACTGAAATTGGCAGTGAACAGCAGAGCTGAAATGGAAATTGGCAGGTACCACTGGATGTACCCAGGCTCAAAGAACCACCAGTACCGTCCCGTGCCAACCCTGGGGGACAGGGCTGGCCCCTTGAGCAGTCCAGGTAAATACAGCCTTGGGTTGAATGCTAATAGCAACTCAATTGTTATCTTTACTATGATTTGTGATGGCTCTTTCAGTGTGGTGATATTTTATGTTTTGCCTGATGCATTCATTTGTTGACAAGGGTGTGGGTAAAACTTAAGCTCTTTGACCTTTTAAAAATCATCTTTCATTTTCTCTCCCCCTTACCATTCCACTCCATCTTTCTCCCCTTTTCTCTTTGCTCACCCCCGCTTCTCCATCTCAAAGGGAGCAGTGTACAGTAAGACAAGCCTTAGGGTGACCCACAAAATTTCCTCTGTCTAAACCAGTAACAAGGGAGTGGAACCACACAGGTTCCCACCACTGGGGCCCAAAAATGTGCTGGAACAGTCAAGAAGCTTTAGCTTCTTGGGGATCCTGAGCATCTTTCTAACAAGGTCCAGGCATCTTTCAAACCCCTTTACTTTGCACTACCCTCTTTTCGTTGCCTTTGAGAATGAAAAATCCCAGCCTGTGAAGTTAGAATTGGTAACTGTGTATCGGACTCCCACCAGGTAGGTTCTTTGGACTCAGTTGCCATTCTCCTTGCTTATGAAGAATGCTGGTCTCACAGATAACCGGTATCAAGTCTGAATGAAATGTGTATGAGTTGATTTGAGGACTTAGGGTGGGGAGGATGCTGAGTGGGATGACATTCAGCCACTTGAATCCCCAAAGTCTACATGTGTTCATATTCAGCTCAGTGATTTTGCCAACATACAATTGTACTTCAAAGTGTAAAATGCCATCTTCATGGGCTGGTGGTGAGTCGGATAAACAAAATTGTCAGCTTAAAATGTTGCTATGATTTTGTGTCAACCCATGTCATTTCTTCCAAATGGGTGCGTACTTTCTCAAGCTACTCTGCAGACAGAAGGATCATGGTCCAAAGTTAGTGTGAGAGTATGTATGAAGAACAGATTAAAAACAAAAGGACATACAAAAGGCTATCAAGTAGTAGTGCATTTGCTTAGCAAGCAGGAGACACTGAATTTAATACCCAGTACCACAAAAAAGGAAATTGGATTGAACATCCATTATCATAGTTGTTCTTTTTTAAAGAAAGTAATGGAGGTGTAGAGTGGCTAGAATCTGGACTTACAATTTTCTATTAGATACGATATATTTGTATTAATATTCATCAGTTAAAAGAATGAAGTACTAATATATACTATGACATGAATGACCATTAATACATGGTACTAAATAAAAATAAAAACTCAGACCAAATGAGTGACTTCGTTCATACAACAAGTAGATTGGGCTGGGTGCCATCAGTTCACATCTGCAATCCTAGCTGTCAAGGAGGCAGAGCCCTGGAGGATCCTAGTTCTAAGACAGCCTGGGTAGAAAAGTCTAGGAGACTCCCATCTCCAATTAGCAAAATGCTTGACTGGAAGCTTGGTGGTAGAGCACCCGCTGTGAGCAAGAAAACCAAGTAAGATCACAAGGCCCTGAGTTCAAGCCCCCAAATTGGCACAAAAAAAAAAAACCAAGAGGCTGCCAGAGGCTAGGGGAAGTGCAGATGGGCACATGGATCTCTCTTGGGGTGAAGAAAGCATTCTACAATTAAATTGTGGTGACAGATGCATTACTCTATAGACATACCCCAAACAATTGAATTGTACCATTTAAAACGCATGAATCTTGCAGTACCCAAGTTATATCTGTGTGCTTTTGACCCAATCACCAAACTTTGGAAGATGCACAGCAGTTCTAAGCAGCAGTTGAAGCTGAGAACATACAAGGTTCCACTTAATCTCCTGAAATAGGTTTGTTTGAGAATCCTGAGGCGATTGTGGTTTTTGGAAGGTATCCGTTGTGTGAACATGGTGTTCACATGATCCCATACATGAAGCCTGGCACCAGCCCCTTGGGCCATTCAGGTTGGGGTTTGACACCAAGGAAATTGTGGTTACCATGTTTGTGTTTTATTTTCCCCTGCCAAATGGATTAGGCAGTAAAATAAAATGTTTTAAAATCCTTAGTCCTCTGGGTTTGAGGAATTCTCGAATAGTGTGAGATTTTGCCCAATTCCCACAATATCAAGTTGCTGGGATATTACAAGGAAGTATCCTGTGCGCAAATAGCTTCCTGCAAGGGGAAAAAAGAACTAACTGAATTTTATTTGAAGAAGTGTCTTTCTAGATCCTGAAGTAGTCTCCATCCATACACAGTTTTAATTTTTGTGGGCACTGACTGCAATTTTTGTTTAAAAAAATACTTCTAAAGCCCAAGCTGTTGGGGTCATTTGTGTCTGAAACTGGCTGCAGAGATCTTATACTTGATAGTTTAGAGACGATGGCGCAGGCCATGGACTGAGAGGACCTGATTCAGGCATGTTATCACCTTCCTGGGCCATTTAGACATTTTATTGGCTTCCAAATGAATGCAGTTGCCATTCTGCACTTGCATTCCAAACCAGATGGTGTGAGGAGAAAAAATAGATAATTCCATATGGCTCTGGTGTGCTTTCTCCCTTACCTCCCCCTGCCCTCTTTCTTTCCATCTTTCTTGATTTCTTTCTATGGGGGAAAGGGGATTTTGATACAGTTTAACCAGAAACCCTTTCCTAAAGGAACATGTCTCTTAGCCATGTGGTCACTATACTAGAGATGCTATCTCCTTGCCCCCCCCATCTCTATCCCCCCTGGGAAGATCAAAATGATTCCAGTGCCCTTGGCCTTGATTGATTTTTTCCATTTTTGTTTGCCTTTTCTTTCTAATGTAACTTCCCAGTAAAAGTTATATGTTTAGGACTTGACTAATTACTCTTTTACCATCTGTTTCCATTTCTTTATGTATTTTAGCTCCTTGGGGCAGCCAGTGTCCACATTTTGGCTAGGCCACATGAACAACCCCCCGTCAGGCTGCCTGCGGTCCTAGATAACCACCCACCAATTCCCTGTCTTCCAGATTCACATTGTTCTAATGCTTGGGTTGAGATGGCCGTACATTACTCCACAAGTCCAGACTCCACAGGTCTCATATGTAGATCACACAGGGAGTGGGGAGCTGGGTGAATTTGGAGATTTAGTAAGAAGCCCCAGTGTGATATGCACTGCCAAGTCCCTGCTGTGACTCAGGTCTCATGGTTGGAAGGCTGTGTTATCTGCCCAGGTGCAACCTCAGGCAGGCTGAGAACGGCAGCCTTTATCTTCCTGCTCCCTGCGCTGTGAAGCATAGGACTCTCACTAATGCACTCTGTAGCCTGACACCTGTGGGTGTGAGCCCTGGGAAATGCTATTTGATTTTCGCTATTGTTCTTTACTTATTCTTTACCTCCAGTTGCAAGGCCGCTAAATTTAAGGTCTTTTCTGAAAAAAATAATAATCTATTTTGAGAAGGAAATCTCTTATCTTTGCATGCACCCTTGGCTCTCCTTCTGTGGCTATATGTCCACTGTGACCCATAGGCTGATCACATGAGTCGTGCTGTTCCACAGAGGCTGGGGTAGAAGCTTTCTGAGTGGATACAGCTGAAGCCAAGGTTGTGCTTGGTCTGAGGGACACTTCCAGTCACTTAGAATTTCTGGTTCGGTGGAAGAAGTGTCAAGCACAGCACAAGCACAGTGTAGTCAGCTTCACGCTGGGAAGTGCCTTAGTTTTTCAGAGTTGTTTTTTGTGTTGGGCTTTTACAAAAATGTGAACTGTATTATAGTAACTATTTAACAAAGACTCATATATATATACTGCATATAAAATAAGCAATATATAGTACATTATAATATTGTATAGATATAATAAGCAATATGTTTCTAAATATATTTCTTATGAATATACTATATGTATAAACATATGCATTATTATATATGTTGCTTATTTAGTGAAGATAGTTTTATATATATATATGTACATATGTATAAATCAGACGCATATGAAACACTCCTTGATTGCTTCCAGAGTTTTATATGCTGTGCTGTCAGTGTGTATTTCAGTGTTGGTGTGACTGGCTTGATGGGCATGAGTGGTATCCACTTCTGTGGCCTCTTGAACTTGTATCTGCTCCTTGTTTCAGACAAAGATAGCAGAGAGAAGCAAATTAATCACAGTGAGTCCTGACTTGGAGCTGTTTGTCAGGGGTGATTATAGCCTGAGTAAATTCAGTCTTTTATAAGTAGTGACATCTGGCCTTTGTTTTCATTATAATATCCGTCATGCTACATTTCCAGCTAGACTTAGTCATTTTCCTTTGCGATCTTTCACACACCTGCCTTGAGGCCGGGTGCCTGTGGCCCATGCTTGTAATCCTAGCTACTTAAGAGGCTGAGATCTGAGGGCTATGGTTCAAAGCCAGCCTAGACAGGAAAGCCTGTGAGACTTTCCAATTAGCCACCAAAAAGCCAGAATAGGAGCTGTGGCTCAAGTGGTAGAGTATTAGCCTTGAGTAGGGACAACACCCTGGCCCTGAGTTCAAGCTCCAGGGCCAGCAAAGAAAAAAGAAGTAGCTGGGAACTAGATGAAGTGGGCCACTTGTTTTTCCTTTATATCCAGTTTGTATGCTTTCAGATGTTCTGGTTCATTCCCAATATATACAACTTGTTTCCCTGTGTACAGTTAATACCTGTGTACAGTTAATCAAAGTGGGTTTTGCCCTAAGTGGAATGGGCTGGGTATGACAAGTTATGTGCTTTCTCTGAAGAGCATCATGCGTATTTTATCTGCACTGTCCTTCCAAGAAGTCCTCCAAAGTTCTACATCAGAGAGGTGATCGCCTATCACTTTAAGTCCTCAGAAAAGGGAGCCTTTCTGGTTCTCAGCACAGCACAGAGGATGACTTATGTTCTGTCTTAATGATTTGGGGCCTCCTGTCACCTGCCAGTCCACACTACTCAGTTCATACGGCTCCTGCCTTTCACCACCTTCACTCTGCAAAGGGTTTCCCAGCCCTTTTAAATTGCTCATATGTGTTGTAGAGTTCAACTTAACCAACATTAAAACCACCACCAACAACCACCAAAGGCTTGTTCTGAGGGATAAT